CCCCCCGCCCTCGCTCGGTGTCTGTGGGCGCTGCGGTGTGACGGTCTGACTGCGGGCGCAGAGCGACGGGGTAGCGATATTGTGGCTCCTTTCTCCTCCGTCCTGAGAAGGTGCATTAATTCCTGCCCAGTCACTCTGCAGTCCTGGGCACGGACACCTCCGGTTCTCCCCGCGCAGGGGCTGCTGAGGATGCTTGTAATTAGAGCAAATTGGAGATGCTCCGCGCGAGCAGCGAGGTGCCATTTCTTTAAGAGCTTTTTATTCCACATTAGCCGAGGTCTCCCACGCTATTCCTGGGAGAGCCGGCTCGGTTACCGTTGACCTGAAAAGCCACAGAGTCTATAAATGTTTCACGGTTTGACTGAATCTTGATTGCGGAGCACTTGAAGTGAATATGCTGTCCAGTTCCCCGAAGCCTGCGAGTGTCCTGGCTGGGGCGGGAGGACGAACCTGACGTTTAGAGCAGGATTTTTTTTTTTTTCTTATTATTATTTCATCTGCTATTTTACTGTGCGAACTTTCCGTGCGCTGCCACGTGGGCGTGGTGGGGACGAAGCGCTGGATGGGTTTGGAGGAACTGGGTGCAAACGCCTCCCCGCGCTCTGAGCCTTCGTGAACGTGCTCTGGGCCCCAGTCTGGGCAGGGCTCAGGGTGGTGATTTTATTTTCCAGAGCTGCCCGCTGTGGCTCAGAAGCGAGCCAGGACTCGGCTGGGCTTGACTCGGGGGCTTGACGGGGGGAATGGCGGCCCCTGTTTTGACTTCCTCGAGGTGTCGGGTGTGAAGTTGTTTTATTTCCTGTGCCCTGGGAAGGGGGGGAAGGCGTTTGTTAGATCCGTAGTTTTAATTCCTGCCCGTGTGTTGTACAGATTTAGCGGAGTCACGGGCGGAGCGGATTGATGTTTAGTGGGGTGAATTCATCCTGGCGTCGTTGGTGTTTCTATTTAAGAGATCCTGTGTTGTTTAGTCCAATAAACAGCACAGAAACACAAAAGTAAATGATTTGGGACGAATGATTTCTTGCCGCCTCGTTTTCTGGAGGAAGCAGTGACGAGAAGCAATTAAAGGCCATTGGCGTCGTCTCGGGGGTTTATCACATCAACTCGACAGGGCAGCGCTGCTCGGGGTGTGTTTGAGAGCAGCAGAGACCGGGCTGAGCGTCTGCCTGACCCGGCATGTCAGACATGACAGGCCAAGCCTGAGCCCTGGCTTTGGGAAGGAGCTTCCCTTTCCCACGAGGTTGTTAATTCCAAAAAAAAAAATCTCGGAAGTCGCTGGCGGCCGCCAGATTTCTGTCCACGCGGGCACGAGCATTTTAAATTCTGTCCCTTCTTGCAAAGACGCGCTGTCGCGGGAGACCCCCGAGCGCCGGCAGCTCTTCTAACGATGCTCGGCGGAGTCTGCCTCGCATAATTTTTGCATGATAAACATTTTAACACCAGGAGGACTTGGGCTGTAGCGAAGAGACCGGAATCTGGAGAAGAGACTCGGAGCGAGGTGCCAAGGTCAGTCCCCTGTAAGGCCGAGCACAAATGGAGCGGTGGGCAAGGGATGGGATTGAGTGGCTGAAAATGTGCTGCACGGGGGAGCTGAACTTCATCTTTCCTGGCACCTGGGTCCTCGGTGGCTGCTCTGCAATGAAGATTTTGAAAAAAGATTGCTAATTCTCACTCGGTGATGGGAGTCTGAAAGCCATTTACAAGATTAAGGACTAGAAAGTTGGTACCTCGAACTTCTGTGAGCTCGGGAAACTTGAGAAAATCTTGCTCATGGGGCTGAAACGGGTAAGGAGAGCGGGAGGAAGAATTTAACCGTTCATCTGTAGCCTTAATAAGAGGCTGACCTTTCCATCATGTTCACAATTCTGTCACTGCATTTGGAGGCATCTCGGTTTAAATGCTACATCAATGTCTGGGAACCGCGGAAGTCAATGGTGTGTCTCAAAATCGCGTACGAGTTATTTAGAGGAGGTGAGGGAAAGAACATGAATCAGCAGCTTGGAATATCAGCTGAGCTAACACGGAAAGGGCAGGGACCGCGCGCGCGGCCCTGCAGAGCGCCCGGGCCTCTTGGAAATGTCCCTTCCCCTGGGCAGGCCCCAAAGCTGCCGGGCAGCAGCGGCTGTAGAAACACCCCTGAGCAGAATCGGGGGGGGGTCTTGTGCTTCCCTGGCTCCGTGCTGGGCCCGAGGCGTCAAAGCACCCGCGAGCAGACGCCCTCGGAGGGGATCTGGCTCGAGTGGGAACTCCCTGGGAGGGGGTCGGTGACGCGCTGGAAACCTCCGGGGGTCCTGCCCGGGGCTGCCTGTTCCTCCCGAGAACAAATGTGGCTGAAATACCGGTTTGAGGAGCGTTCTGTCACGGTAAAACACGTCCGTGACCAGCTGTGGCCCTTTTCCTGAAATTCAGCCTGCTCGGACCTCTGACAGGAAAAAAAAAAAAAAAAAAATCAAGGGGGACTTTGTGATGGCAGGCACCCCGTGAGCATCTCTCGGTGGAACGGGAGGGCCCGCAGATTTATGTGACCTTTGCTCGCTGGCAGGGAGCGAACCTGTTGGTGATGGCTGTCTCAATTATGGGTCTCTCTTGGAACATCGAAGCATTACCTTGGAGATCATCGCTGGCAGGGAACACAAGCTGCTGGATCTTCAAACCCATTTATCAGTCTGCTTGCCATTCGTATCTCCAGGTGGAGGAAATTGTGAACCACACTGCTGGAAGGCTCTGGCGCTTTTGTTAACTCTTTATTGCTGCGCTCAGGCGAAGGGAACGGAGGAGCAGTGCTGGTCCGCTCGGCCTCGGCACCCTCCTGACCCCCACCAGCCCTGCTGGGACTCGTGGGTTTCACCTTGGGGTTTTGCTCCTTGGTTGGTTGGTTTAAACTTGACCCGGAGCTTGAGGAGTGAATCGGCTTCTCGAGTTCAGGGTGGGTGGTGGGGGCACTGGGAAACCAGATTCGGTCGGGGTTACCTGGCTGAGGAGAATCCGGGGCTGGGATTGTGGCCGGTTCCCCCGCAGTAGCTGCTCGGCCTCTGCTGCCCCTGCGGCAGGACGAGCCAGCGCGCGCCGCGCGTTTGTAGGATTTCAATTTTCTCCTTGGCAAAGTAACAGCTCGGAGCTGACCTCTTGCTTCGTATCTGTCTAAATGTCTCCCGGTGCCCGTTGTTCAGAAGAGAGCTTCCCTCTCCTTTGTCTCCACAGATCCGTCTGGGTTTATTTTTGATGTGCAGTCCAATACTGTGATGGCCCAAGGAGGAACCTTTGAAAACATGAAGGAGAAGGTAAATGTGTCTTCCGAGACTTTAACTCACCACGTGCCACGGAAGAGCTCGTGAACGCTGTATCTTCATCTCCTCTCCGAGATGAAATATGTTTCTGTCCGGGAGCTAACTGCAGCTCTGTCAAAAGCAAAATTTTATTCAGGCTAAATCGTCTGGCACATTAAAGTTTTATAAGGAAGTCATCGGTGACTGTTTTCCGACTGCTTGCGGAAGGGTTGCTCTAGGCTCCGTGTGGGATCAAGCAAGCGGTTTACGTGTCACCCCCTTTCCTTCCCTCTAGATCAGCGCCGTGCGCGCGATCGTCCCCAACAGGAGCAACAACGAGATCGTCCTCGTGCTGCAGCATTTTGACAACTGCGTGGACAAAACGGTGCAAGCCTTCATGGAAGGTAACGGCGGCCAGATTCTGGGCGGGGTTTGCGGCTTCGTGACTCCTACGTACCACGTGTACTCGGCCATCGAGTGACTCGAGCGTGGCCGGAGAAGGGCAACGGGGCTGGGGCAGGGTCTGGAGCACAGGTCTGCTGGGGAGCAGCTGGGGGAACTGAGGGGGTTCAGTCTGGAGAAGAGGAGGCTGAGGGGAGACCTCCTGGCCCTCGGCAACTCCCTGCCAGGAGGGGGCAGAGAGGGGGGATGAGTCTCTGGAGCCAAGGCCCCAGCGCCAGGCCCCGAGGGAATGGCCTCAAGCTGCCCAGGGCAGGGTCAGGCTGGCTCTGAGGAAGGATTTCTGTGCAGAAGGGGCTGTTGGGCGTTGGAATGGGCTGCCCAGGGCAGGGGGCAGTCCCCGGGATCCCTGGGGGGGTTGAAGAGTCGGGCTGAGCCAGCGCTGAGGGATCTGGGGGAGTTGGGGGGGGTCAGGGTGAGGGTCGTGGTCGGGCTGGAGGAGCTGCAGGGGCTTTTCCAGCCCAGATGGTTCCGTGATACTCGGACAGACCCGCTCCAGGAGCAGCCGTAGCAGCGAGTACTCCAGGGAGCAGAAGCTCAAGTAGCTTCTCTGCACGTCCAAGTCCGGGCTCTCTCCACAACTAACGGGTGGTGCTTCCTGAGCTGTAGCTGGTGTTTGCCCAACTAGGGGTCAGGGCAGAGATAAGGGTTCGATAGCTCTGTAGATAAAGGAGGTTTGGTTCTCCGTTGCAGAAGCTCTGGTCCCTGTGTACAGAACGGGAGTGTCTTCAGCTTCCGTAGCTGCTGTTTGTACTTTGAAACCTGCCTGGGGCATCGTCCCCCGGGAGGCAGAGGGTGTCACGGCCCGCTCAGGGTTCCTGACCTCGGGAGAAGAGGCTGTTGCGGGTGACAGCGCCTGTCGCTTCCCAGCTCTCCCCTCCGTGCTGGGCGTCCCGGTGGCTCTGGGGACAGGAGGCAGCAGGTACCTGACCTGGAGGCCCCCGGGGGCTCAGAGCGTCTTCCCACAGGGCCCCAAGTACCTGCAGCGTGACAGAGTGACAGAGCCCCAGAAAAGACTTTTTTTTTTTTTTCCTGGAAAGAGCTGGCCCTGTGTTGTAAGGGAGTAGGCTGTTTAGCAGCGTGTTCCCAAAGCAAAAATGAAACCGGTGCTTTTATTACATCAACTAAGAGAATTGAAACTTCGCTGCAGGAGGCGTTGGCGCTGGCTCCGGGTGTGGAGGCGCTTCCACGCGACCGGGAAAGCACCGAGTGGTGCCTCGGCCACTGCTCACCGCTGCGTTTTGTTTCAGGCAACGCCAGCGAAGTGCTGAAAGAGTGGACTGTAACAGGCAAAAAAAAGGTAACGCCGTTTAAAAATACACTTGGCTAAGGGTTTTTCATCTTTTGATTTTGAGGATTCGGACTGCAGGCCACAGTAGGTGTTCCTCGTGATTTAGATGAAAAAAAAAAAGCACCAAAGAGCAGAGGCGTGTATCGATGCTGGAGCTGATGCAGGGAGGTGGTGGCTGGGTTATCGGCTGCCTCGCTGTCCAGGGCAGAGATTTACACGGTAACTCGGTGTGAGTTGCACACGCCGTCACCTCGCCACGTTTGCATTTCATTTAATTGTCAGGCACGTTGCGTCCGACGTAGCATCTGAAAAACAGGCTCTAGACTTTCTGTCCTTGCCGTCGCTTTTATTCCGCTGACCCTCCCCGGGACCCCTGATCCGCACACGCAGCCCCGCACTGAAGTAAATCTTTATCAGGTCCATTTATTTCAGTGGAGCCCTGTAATTCACTGTTCAGATAGTCAGGCTGTTCCATTTTTCATCGGTAACCTTTCGAGCTGAACAGTTGCGTTTAATGCTGAGCTCGGTGGAAATATATTTCTTTGTCACGTAAGCTTTCTCGAGTGTTTTGCCTCGTTCTTTGCCCAGACCTCTGTGAAAGGGTTAAATAAAGATTTGCAAAGTTTCAGTGCTTGATATTATAATATCTAAATCCACCAGGACAAGGATAAAATCCTAATTATTCAGGAGGACTCCTCTGAATACGTGAAAAGCGCCGGCATGAAATGGAGAGAAGGGGAAAAAAAAAAAAAAAAACAAACCCAACCTGTGGCCGAGGAGCCCCGCGCTGGGGCAGGCGGGAAGTTTGGGCAGAGCCAGGTCTAGCAGAGAGCCCTGGAACTGCCCCGTGGCAGCCAGCGCCCACCCGGCCCATGCTGCGGGGTGCAGCCGCACACCCCTCGCCTGCTTCCCCGCAGCCTTCGTCCGATAACCGCTGCTCCTCTTGGCAGGGCCTGCGAGAGGATAATGTATTCACGCCTCATTAATGCCACTATATCTGTCCTCATTGTTGAATAAATCCCTCCTACTGTTAATAGGATCAACAGCCAGCCTGCCTGAAAAAGCATTTAATTCAACTACTTTCAGCCAGTAAGCATAAGCTTAATTTTCCCTTCAGGAATTAAGCTCAACTTTTTTTTTTTTTTCCCCCTCTGTCCCCCCTCTTTGTGGTGTGGATACCTAATCCTTAGAACAAGAAGAAGAAAACCAAACCGAAACCACAAGCTGAGTCGAGCCCTGGCCTCCCAGAGCCCGGGAAATCGGTGTCAGCTGAAGAGGAGCAGTCGGCCAACTCGGAGAAGGGAGGAATTAACGGTTTCCATGTCAACGGCTGCGCCCACGACACGGAGTCCGTGGACTCGCTCAGCGAAGGTTTGGATGCACTTTCAATTGATGCCAGAGAGCTGGAGGATTGTGAGTCTGCTGCACCAGACATGCCTGATAGAACAGGTTAGTCTCTCCAAAGCAGCCCAGGAGACGGGCACCGAGTGTTGAAAAAGCAGAGGAGCTGCCTCTTGTGTGTTTTGTGGGGTTTTTGGTTTTTTTTTTTTTTTTTTCCCCCCGTTCTTTCTTTGCTTTGGGTCAGCTTTGAGCGCCGAGTTGTGCGGGTGGCTCCTCAGCAGCTCCACTCGTGTTCCCAAATTCTGCGCTCAGCGCTCCCCCTCCTCCTCGCGTTCCCCTTTAAACCAGTGTCCTTTTCCACAGCGGTGCCTCGGCTCCCCAACGGGGTAACGGACTGTGACGCCAAGTCGCTCACCGCGCGCCCTTCCCCGAGCCCCTCGTCCCTCAGGCCACGGCCGGAGCAGAGGAGCGCGAGCAGGTCCCTGCCCAGATCCACCACGAGCCACTCGACTCCCTCCTCGCTGGCCGCGGCGCGGCTGGAGGACGTTCCGCTGTCGCCCGCGAACAAGAAGCTGGGTAAGGCCCCGGGGGCCGCACCGGCCGCCTCTCGCCGCGGTGCCGCTGACAGCCGCCGCGCCGAGGCTGGACTTTGATTTTAATGCGAGCCAACGTACTGCTTGTTACCCGGCCGGTAACTTGGGCTCTTCCCCCTCCTCGCCGCGGCGCGCAGCAGGGATCCTGACAGCGGTTTAGACGTAGCGCCCAGAGCAGCAAACCCGCAGGTGGCGGAGGAGCGGGGCAGGACACGGCCGGTCTCGCTGCATACGTTTAGCCCATTCTTCTCTGAGCCTTTAGGTTGTTTCTCAGCTTTTGTGAGAATTTGTCAAAAGGCCAGAAGTTCGGACCAGTCCTGTTACATGAAGTGACAGTTTTCTACTGGATTTTTTTTATTTTCCCCCCCCCCCTTCCTTTTTCATGCGTTTTCTCCACAGCTGAGTTCTTACAATAACAAGTGGGGACAGGAGGGACCTCGGAGACCCCGATTGTGATCGCGGTTGTTGTACTTGGCTCGGGGAGGTGAGGGGGTGGGAGTTCACCTCCTCGCTGCACGGGAAGGCTGCGACGAGCCGTTGTTAATGCAGCCTCGGGGGGGGACGACAACCACGCTCCAGCGAGCTCCCGAGAGCGTGGGTGAGGTGGCGAGCCACAGGGACTGACCTTGGCCGCTGTAGCCTGCCCTTTCATCTCCCGGTTTGGGGAAAGAGCCTCAATTCTAGTTTCCGAGATAATTCCCTTCCCCAGGCAGACAGTCATTTTGCATCGTTGAGTGATTACGGTGCGTTGGTCTTGGGAGGAGGCCGCGTTCCACCTGTCCCCGCTCCCCGGCACAAAAGCTGCTCAGAGATGTGTTTCGTTCCTCCCGTGTATTTGAAAATGTGGAGGGACGTCCCTGCCCGTAGGAGGAAATTCTCCCAGCCTTGGGAAAACTTTCCCCGAGAAGAAAATCCTCTCAAACTGTCCCCACTGAACCGAGTGCCTTTGTAATGGGCAACGGGAAAGAAAAATTTAAAACCAATCAGTGTATAGTTTTAAAATAAGAAGGGAAAGCCATCTTTAGATTTGTCTCTGCTGGGAGGATTTAGCGGGGTGATTGACGTGGCTGTTTGAGTTCACTCTGTCTCTTGGTAGGTTCTAATATTGAAAAATCAGTGAAGGATCTCCAGCGCTGCACCGTTTCGCTGGCTCGGTACCGGGTGGTGGTGAAGGAGGAGATGGATGCTTCCATTAAGAAGATGAAGCAGGTCTTTGCTGAGCTGCAGAGTAGGTAAGTTAAACGCAGGGCCAAGAGCCGGCTGTTGAGCCTTAAGACCAATACACGTGGAATAAGGCCTGAGCTTTCCAGTCAGGGCAGGGACTTGCTGGGGCTGCCCGACGGCCCCAGGGCTGGGCTGCAGCCTTCAAGACTAAACCAGAGTCTAAAGTCCTGTACTCCGCAGCTTTGGGAAGCTGCCTCGGCAGGGCAGCTTTGCCAGGCCTGGGTTTGAGCTGTCGGCCCACACGTGGACTGAGGTGTTAACGGGCTGGTCGAGGCTTTGCTGTGTCCGTCAGGGTCTTTGAACTGCGGCTCCGTGTCCGTACAGGACGCTTGTCCTGACCGAAAAGCCGCTTTAGACTCGGGTAACGCCAGGGCCGGATGAGCTCGGCGTGCAGCACGTGTCTGCTGGAAACGTTCACACCTGAAATCTTCAAATCCTGGCTGAATGCCCCTTGGGTGTTTTTGGAGGTAGAAGTACGCGCCCAGGATTATCCCGTGCAGCATCGCTTCCCCCCCTTTTAAGCCGAGCTTTTAATATCATGTTCCCTACGAGTGTAATCGGGTCTTGTTTTAACGAACGTCTTTATTGGGTTGGATAAGTGCTTAAAGGTGATACTCTGAAAGGCCTAACGTCAGATACACGCTCTGTCTTGAGTATTACTGAGAAATCGTCCTTGGTTACACAAATACGATGCCTTTTGGTACGGAAATATTCATAAGAAACCGCACAGAGAGCTCTTGCCTGAAGTGAGTAACGTTTGACAAGGATGCTATCGCACTGAAGGATTAAAGTAGATAACTTGGCAGACTCGCAAATCCGCGTCAGAAGCTGCCCGTGTCTGGAGAGCGCGTGTGGCCTCCGAGGGTTCGGCGGAGGTGACGTGAGCCCGAGCTTCGGGGCGAGTTTCGCTCCGTGTGGCCCCGCCTGTGCTCGCCCTTGGGTTGAGCTTCGCCCCCGGCGGGCGCTCTCCTGAAGCGAGGGGAGTGCTGTCCCGTCATTCATAAATTAAAGCTAAAAAAAAATTACTGTCGGAAATGTTTAGAGATGACTCTCACGCTTTCCTGAGGAGCCTCGGCCACCCTGGAGGGGCCGGGTGAGCGTCCGCGGGCCGGGAGCCACTTGTGGTCTCCAAGCCGAGGCTGGAGCTGCGGCGGGGGTGAAGCCGTCGGTGCCTGGGGGGTTTGGAGCCCGAACTCGGGTTTGGCTTTGGGAACATTCCCCCTTCGTTAGTGGCTTTCGCGTACTGGGGGGGCGTTTGTCGTGACGGGTTTTGTTTTCTGCCTCCATCCAGTTACAACATCTGTAAAAGCCTCTCCCTGCTATGGAGAGCTTTGGGCTAACGTGTCTGGCTCCGTCGAAGTGATTCCTCGCCCTTTGACTCGTGTTATCTTCTAGAAAACGCTGGCGTCATCCTCGGAAAGGTTAAAGACCCAAGTCCAGTCCCGCGGCGTGGCTGCGATAAGCCGAGGCGGCGGCGGGCGAAGCAGGACGCGCGGTTCCGGGAGCGGGGAGCTGGGGGGGGGGGG